GGGTGCGATCTCGTAGCTCACGTCACTAAGTTGTCGTAACACTTTGTAGGGGCCATGGTAGTGTGATAGTAGCTTCTCTGATAAGCCGACTTGGCGGTTTGGTGTCCAGAGAAGTACCAGAGACCCCGGCGAGAAGTGCACGCTTTGGTGGCGACTGTCATAGCGGTCTTTTTGCTGCGCTTGCGACAAGTGCAGCCGATCACGGGCAAGCTGACGGGCTGCATGGGCTCGAGAAATGACATCGCTGGCGTACTCAGTAGACAAGGGGGCAGCCGAAGGAAGGAGCGTGTCAAATGGTAATGCTGGATGTCGGCCAAATAGCAAATAAAACGGCGAATAACTAGCTGTGTCGTGCCGTGAAGAATTGTACGCGAACGTGACAAAGGGGAGTGCTTTGTCCCAGTCACGGTGATCTGGCGAAACGTTCATTGACAGCATCTGCGTCAGCGTTCGGTCAGACGCTCGGTCAATCCATTTGTCTGTGGATGATAAGCGGTGGTAAGCTTGTGCTCAGTGGAGCAGGCGCGGAGAATATCATCCACAACACGTGAAAGAAAGTACCTTCCTCGATCAGTAAGCAGCTGCCGCGGAGCGCCGTGATGAAGAATGACTTCATACAAGAGAAAGTCAGCGATGTCAGTGGAACAGCTTGTCGGCAGTGCTTAGTGATGGCAAAGCGTGTGGCGTAGTCTGTGGCGACTGCAACCCATTTATTTCCGGAGGTGGACGTAGGAAACGGCCCAACAGGTCAAGGCCAACACGGAAGAATGGTTCCGTTGGTATGTCAATGAGCTGTAGGAGGCCAGACGGTAGCACAGAGGGGCGCTTGCGGCGTTGGCAGCGGTCGCAAGCAGTGACGTAACGAACCACAGAACGATACAGTCCGGGCCAGAAAAAGCGACGTCGCACACGATCGTAGGTACGAGAGACGCCTAGGTGATCGGCTGTAGGTACGTCATGTAGTTGTTCGAGAACGCTGGTACGCAGGTGATGGGGAAGCACGAGTAGTAATTCCGGGCCATCAGCGTTGAAGCTGCGACAGTACAGAATGTTGTCGTGCAGTTCGAACAGGCGAACGGAAGGGTCTGTCGGAGCAGAGGTCAGACGCTCGATAATGGAGAGTAACGACGGGTCACGTCGTTGTTTCGGTGGAGATATCACCCAAAGCGTGGATGGAGAGAACGCAGGGGTCTGAATGAAGGTCTGTCAAGTCGGGCGTTTCAACCGGATAACGTGACAAACAGTCTGCGTCTGTGTGGAGGCGTCCCGACTTGTAGTGGACCACGAATGAGTATTCTTGCAGACGGAGCGCCCAGCGACCAAGACGTCCAGATGGGTCCTTTAGCGATGACAGCCAGCAAAGAGCGTGATGGTCCGTAACAACGGAAAAAGTTCGGCCATACAGGTAAGGCCTGAATTTCGCCACGGCCCACACTAAAGCTAGGCATTCACGCTCAGTGATGGAGAACTTCCGTTCGGCAGGTGAAAGAAGACGACTGGCGTAAGCAATCACGCGGTCCTTCCCGTGCTGTCGTTGGCCAAGGACCGCTCCAATTCCATGGCCACTGGCATCGGTCCGAAGCTCTGTAGGTGATGCTGGGTCGAAATGGGCCAGTACTGGTGGCGTAGTCAGCAGATGGATAAGAGCCGAAAAGGCGTCCGCTTGCTCTATACCCCATGCGAAGGGAATGTCCTTCTTTAAGAGATCAGTAAGCGGTCGAGCGATGTCGGCGAAGTTGCGGACAAATCGACGAAAATAGGAACATAGTCCTACAAAACTTCGGACGTCCTTGGTTGAGCGTGGTTCAGTAAATTGTTGTACTGCTCGCACCTTTTCGGGATCTGGTTGAACACCATCGGCACTGACAAGGTGGCCGAGTATGGTGATTTGGCGACGTCCGAAATGGCATTTTGCAGAATTGAGCTGGAGAGCAGCTCTTCGAAAAACATCCAGAACAGCTGACAGACGTGTTATATGGCTGTCAAAGGTGGGCGAAAAGACGATGACATCGTCTAAATAACATAAGCAGATGGACCACTTATATCCTCGGAGAAGGGAGTCCATCATGCGCTCGAAAGTTGCCGGCGCATTACACAGTCCAAACGGCATGACTTTGAACTGGTAGAGGCCGTCGGGCGTAACGAAAGCGGTTTTTTCACGATCCATGGGGTCGATGGAAATTTGCCAATAGCCGGATCGAAGGTCGATAGACGAAAAGTATTGGGCACCATGGAGGCAATCGAGGGCGTCATCAATCCGAGGCAAAGGGTAGACATCTTTGTGGGTCACTTTGTTTAAATGGCGATAGTCCACGCAAAAGCGCCAGCTGCCATCTTTCTTCTGAACGAGCACGACTGGGGAGGCCCAGGGGCTGGATGAGGGTTCTATTACGTCTTTAGTAATCATTTATCCACTTCATTTTGAATTACTTGGCGTTCCTTGTGAGATAAGCGATATGGACGCCGCCGTATAGGACTGGCATTACCAGTGTTGATCCGGTGAGTCACTGCAGTTGTTTGGCTGAGAGGGCGGTGGTCAAAGTCGAAAACGTCTCTATATGATGTTAGCAGACTACGGAGGCTGGCAGCTTGCACTGCAGTGAGGTCGGGAGCAATCATCTTGTTAATGTCATCTGCAGGCAGAGTGTAATTGCGGCCAAGACAGGGGGATGTAGTATCGGTGTCCAAACCAGTAACGTTGCAGCTGTCAAGTGGAGATAGGGTGGCCAAAGACATGTCTTGCGGAATAACTTGAGTCAAGAGACTCACGTTGAGTAGTGGTATAACCACTGTATTATTAGCGACAGCGACAACAGTGTGAGCAAGGGCGACGTCTCGGGCCATCAGTACGTCTACTATAGGAGTGACGAGGTAGTCACCGTCGGGCACATGACGTGAGCACGACAAAGTGACATATGTAGCAGCTTGCGGAGGCAAGCGAACGTGGTGACGAGAGCGTAAACGGGGAGAATAGTCTGCTGGAAAATCGGCAAACTGCGGCAGTTCAAGCTGAAGAGCACCAGTGGCACAATCAATGAGCGCAGAATGACGTGACAGGAAGTCCAAACCAAGTGTTAGGTCATGAGGACACATTTCAATGACGGCAAACTGAACTAATGTAGGATGACCAGCAATGGACACACGGGCCGTGCACATCCCTTGAACATCAGGGGTCCTCCCATCAGCGACACGAAGTTTGTGGGAAACGGCAGGCGTGAGCACTTTATGTAGGCGTCGGCGAAGGTTCGCACTCATTACAGAAATGTGCGCTCCAGTATCTATAAGGGCAGAAATAGGCACACCGTCAACGGCAACGTCTAACAAATTTTGTCTCGTCGGAAGCGTCAAGAGAGGATTTGTGGAGGGAGTCGAAGATGCAGCGTCACCTCCGGGTGCTGCACCGTTTAGTTTCCGGGTAGGCAGGAGCGGGGTTGAATGGAGATGACGGCCTGCGAATCTGCGGTGAGCGAGACGACTGGCGACGTCCTGGAGGCGAACGCGACTGATGACCATGCGGTGACGGAGATCGGCTGTTGAACCTTCGGTAGTTGTTTTGCGGAGAAGGCTGCACGGCAGACGCGAAGCGGGTGCTGTCCTGTCGGTAGTGAGGTTGAGATGAAGTCCGAGGTGGCGAGGACCAGCGGTAATTGCAGTAACGGACGACATGACCGATACGGTGGCAATGAAAACAAATTGGTTGATTGTCGACGGTTCTCCACGCCGCAGGGTCGCGAGATCGGGCCGTGAACTGCTGCTCGCGATAGGACGAGGGTGGACGCCATGAAGCTCGCTGCGGGCTGGGCAAAGCGCACACCGAGGGAATACCTATGCTGGCGAGTTCTTGGCGGACGATGGCTTGAACCATGTTAGCAGTGAGTGGGGTGGTGTCACTTGCAGCGGTGTGAGCCGGAGCAGAGGCAATGGCTTCAAGTTCGCGCCGTACAATTCGGGTCACCTGATCCGATGAATCTAGAGGTGGTGGCTGTGTTCTTGCACGGTCTTCGCAAGATGATGTTGCAGCCGTATTCGGAAGGCGGGTGAACACGCTGTTAATCCGCCGGCTCTTCGCCTGCTCAAAGCGCCGACATTCTTTTATAATGGCGTCCACTGTAGAAAAACTTTTGCAGATGAGGAGGTTGAATGCGTCATCCGCAATCCCCTTAAGAATATGCCCGACCTTGTCAGCCTCCGGCATATCGGCATTGGCTTTGCGACACAACGACAACACATCTTCTATATAGGAGACGTAAGACTCGGTCGAGGTCTGCGCCCGAGACGCGAGCATTTTGTTCGCGGCCATTTTCTTCCAATCGGCTTTCCGAACAGGTCTAGCATTTCTCCCTGCACACTGCCCAACTCACAAGTTCTGTTTCATGGTTCTCATACCACGATTTGGCGGTTCCCCTAAGATAGAATAACAGGTTTGCCAGCATAAGAGTCGGGCCCCATCGGTATCGAGTACTCACACGTTCGTACTCTGCCAGCCAATCTTCAACGTCAACTTCATCTGGATCGCCGGAACCGCTGAACGTGCCAGAATCCCGCGGGGGTTCGAGCACAAAGGTTGTGGTCGCAGAAGGAGATGTAGTTACCGCATCATCTCCGGCCGCAGGAACACCAGGAGCAGATGCAGACGCCGTACTCTCCGTCATCGTTGTGGAATGACCCTTCAAACGTCGGCCGCTGCGAAGTTCCGTTGCGAGGTGGTTGCCCAGCACTTCCACCAAATGTGACGGAGCGAGGTCTTGGCTTACAGGACAGCGTCCACCGAGAGTCGGCAGCCGAACAAGATGTCTGAGTTGCCTCTCGTGCAAGCGCCTAACGCACAGGCGTCTTCTTCATCTTCGCTAAGTGCCACGCTTGCTCCTGTCGATGATGCACCGTAACAATAGGATCAAGTTAGTGCAATTGTCGCAGCTGCTGCACCACTGCTAAGACCACCTTCCTTGGAACAGGGCAGGTTTCATTGAAGCAAATTAAGTCAACAAGAACTGACTCACCGGTCAAACTGCAGCTCCTCTTTATTCACATCAATCTGCAAACATAATCAGAGAAATCTATTATTAGGGCAAGCTATTGTTAGGGTTGTGCATAATTTATTATCTTCCAGCATTGTGCACTTAATTGTGCATGCCAAGATAGTCCTTCAAACGAAATGCATGAATGAAGAAAAATGATGACTGAATCTTGCCATGCACATTATGAAGCACTTACCAATTGACCTGTGATGCAAGTATGAATAATATGTGCGAAGTTTTCAGTAAAATGAGTTGAAAGGCTGGGCATTAGCTGTCCGGGCCAGCAAGTCGTTATGTTGGAGACTCGCTCTTTTCGGTATTTTCGATTTCTTAGAATGGGCATAAAAACGAAGTGGCTGGTTAGGTACCTCTCGTGAACCACTTACACGGAACTAATAACTGAAAATTTTGATAAACCCATGCCGTTGCACCAATTGCAAGGACTCCATAACCAGAACAAAAGGTCACTCGAGTAAATTTCTCGTTTTCTTCCTGTGCACTCTTTGTAACTCTAGGGGTGTAAGAAATTTCATGAGCTGTGAAACCAGAAGTGCTTGAGGACCTATGAGTATTGTCACGTGGTCATGATGGCAAAGAATATGGCAGTTGGGCCATGAAAAACATTTTTGGCTAACCTGTGCCAGTAAAACAGAAACTAAAACTACAAGCTGTTCATTGATAGCGGTAAACAACGTGTCGGTCGTCGGCAATCTTATCTGCAATAAGGCCAACGTTATTTATATGAGGGCATCAGCCATGCAGGCCTTGTCACCAGTGATTAAGTTGCAGAATGAACTCAATTGTTGGTGTTTGCGTGCTCAAGTCTTGTCAACATTGGATATCATTCTCGTCAACATTGGATATCAATGAAGCTATTTTTGCATCAAATGCATTTTTATCGCATGGCATTAGACTCTATTGCAAAAAAAAAGGGCGTTACTTCAACGAGGTTCCACTGGTGTTGAGGAAATGCTGCACGGAGCTCATCGACGCCAAGCTTCGCACTGAGACGGTCGGGCGCGTCGAAGGACTTGAACCACTTCTTGCTTTTGCTCTGACTGTCAATAATGTGCACCTCGTGCTCGAAGGCCACGTTCAGCAGGTCTATAGGGCAGGACCCCGGAAGAACCCTGCAACGCAGTGGCAAAACACGTCAGGCTCAAAGGCGTGATTTGTGTCTGCGGCTTGATAGAGGAAGAATTTGTTGAATCGCCCTTATACTAGTAACTAATGTTATAAGTAATTGCAGAAAGTTGATTTGCCGAAAAGGTAATATGATCATGGGGAACATAGTATAATGGAGGGTTGCGAAAATTTCAAACACCCGAGGTCCTTTAACATGCACCTAAACCGAAATGTCGCACATGTGCCTCTAGCATTTTCGCCCCAACAAAAAATGCGACTGTCACATCCAGGATCGAACTCACAATCTTTAAGTCATCAAAAAAGCCCCGTAACCACCGTACTACTGTGGCATCAGTAATTATTTTGGAATTGCAAAGCACAACTATCCATCAATTACACACTAGTAAACTGGCTAGTATTTGTTAACTAATGGCTGATAGATTGGCACCATTTCACACTATCCCGTTATAAATAAAGGGGTACTTGCATTACTATGGATGCTTTAATACCTGCACTTTGAGAAAATATAAGATTTATGCATAGCTGAGTCAAACAGTTGCAAAAAATAATAATAATAATAAAAAGCAGATGCTCACTATTTCTTGTCTCAGCTTCAATTTTCGCTCAATTCCCACGAACACATTCAGTGCCAACATGAAAACAGCAGCCCTGACTCTACAGTACAGTAAATCATGGCTAATACAAACTTCGGGGGTGACACAAATTTTTCTGTGGGCCCAGCCAAGGCTCGTTAGCCTACAGTGACCTGGAGTATGATTACTGTGAACTAATTTCAACTCACAACAGTTGAGTTCGAGGTTCGAGGGGTGAGCGAGGCTGCAAAATCAAGCATCGGAAGAAGTTTGTTCCCTGCATTGAAGGGGTGGTGTACTCTCTACCCCTGTCCTGCGGCAAGTGGTACATCGGCCAAACAGGCAGGTGTTTAAATGCGCGGCTGAAAGAGCACGCTCACAACGTCTCCTCTATAGTTTTGGGCCATCTCGGCATTCATTGCCGAGACTGCGGTAGTGTCCCTGATTTTCAGCTTTGTACCGTCATTAGGCGTCATCGGGACCAGATGATACGTGAAATTTATGAGGCTTCAGAAATAGAAGGGCTGGGCAGTGCATGTGTCAGCAGGCCTTCGATTGCGCTATCACTAAAAGAAATAGATTTCCTTCGGAACGTTAGCACACGTGTTGTTCATGGTGCGTTGTGGAGATGACTACGTGGTTGTTAGGTGGATTCTGTTTTGTTTGTTTTGTATTTTTCTCTTTTTTTTTGTCAGATACTGCCCAAGTATATATTGTGCGGTTCTAGCAAATAAATCTTGTTGTAAGTCAGTGCCGCTGTCTGTCTCCTTCTTTCTCTTGTCCCTCGTTATTGGTGCTGTTTTTTAAGTAAAGTTTGTTCTGTTTTCAATTTTACTTGGCACTTGCAAACTGTGAGGGCATCATATACGGGGCATGTTAGAAAAGTAATGAGAGAGAGATAAAGATGCAAGGAAAGGCAGGGAGGTTAACCAGACGCACATCCGGTTTGCTACCCTGCACTGGGGAAGGGATAAAGGGGAGAAAAGAGGTTGCAGAGAGATGAGAAGGTACACACAATCATGAGCACACTCGGGGAGCACACACAGTCTACAGGCGGTCGCTCAGGTTTGTTGAGGCAGTCAATGCTGCGGGTGGTCTGGCGACGTGGTGCCTAACAGCCTGTGCTGGACTAGTTCGTTTATCCCTTACACTTCTTTCTTAGTCCGAGTTACAACTCTGTACAGCTAACACAGTAGTCTTGACAGCACCGTGAGCGAAGTTGGGTTTTTGTTGTGTGTTACAGAAATCGGTCATCGTAGTTTAGAGCAGTGTTGTGCAATAAATTTCCTTGTTAAACTTGTTGAATTCGGGAGTATTACGTTTAGAAGCTGTAACAAGCATATCAAGAACATTGCTTATTAAGAGCACAAATTTTTCAGCTAAAACAAGTCATTTTTGGAAGGACTAGAAAACATTAAAATGAACGTCACTCAGGCAGACATTGCAGACGAGTAGATGTTTCAACATGACAATGCACCGTGTCACACTGCCCTTTCATCGGTGAATTTTACGCCAAAACGCATCATTATTGTTTCTCAAGCTTATATTCACCCGATTTCAGTTCTTGTGACTTTTTCCTTTTCCTGAATTGAAACGTGTGCTAAAAGAAAGTCATTTTGAAACTCTGAAGAACATTCATAAGAATGCAACCGACCAGTTAAAATTTATATTAGCTGAAGCCTTCTAGCACTGCTATCAAAAGAGGGAGCAACAACTCTAACAGTGTATAGATGCCCAAAAGAAGTACCTTGAAGGGGATTATATTGTTGCCAGAAAACACCGCAAATATTTGGTTAGTACAAACTCAGTCTCAATACTTTCCCAACGCACCTCGTATGATGGTGTCAATAAAAACTGGAGTCATAACTGTGACAAGTAGTAGCTTAATTTCTGACACATGCTTTTAGAACTACGTAGTTGCAGCGGTTGGCGGTCCAGCCAGTTAATGATTTAGAGCAGAAAGAAAGCCATCTTAAAGCAGACTTGGAGCACAAGGAACTGTGTTTTGGAGCAGCTATGGAGCCACAAAAAATGTTTTGGAACAGGCAAATCAGGGTTTGAGATCACTTGGGGTGTCAAAAAAGTATGTCTGCAGCTGTAAGCATATGTGTATTATATATATATATATATATATATAATATATATATATATATATATATATATATATTTATATACATACATACATACTTATAGTTGTATACACTTACTACTTTAAAAAAAATTATTGACATTTCTTCTGACTACCTTACAATTCTAGGCTGTGTAATGTTATCTACACTTGTTCATATCATGTATTCTTGATAGTGCCACAGCTACTCATCTTTTTTTTTTGCTTTGATTGCTTCTTTGCTCATTTATTCACTTAGTCTATATTTACCATGCTTTTTTTTCTCTGTTTTTTAAATATTCTAAACAATGTTTCTATTATACAGCCGAACCCTTTTATAAAAGACAAGGGACACTGATATAAAAGACAAATGAATATAAGAGACACCAGTGTGCCTACATCAACGTACGGGTTGATAAGGAAATGCATACGAGGTACCCTGCTTATAAGAGACATCTCATATAAAAGACAATATTTGCTGCCTGGAGCACATCTACTATAAAGGGGTTTAACTGTACTTATATTCGTCAAAATTTGATGACTTTTAGTCTGTATTACATTTGTTTGTATAACTTATTCCACATTGTTGACAGAGTTTCATTTTACTTGTACATACGTATTAAACACATTTTCTGACAGTAGGTCCTCCTTCAGCCAAGTGCCCTGAGACCTCCTTCTGTATACTTATGAAAGCAACTATGTTTTATATGAAACTAAATAAACTGAAACTGATGTAAATAAGGACACATGACCAAAAGCAGCTATAAATCAGGCTAGTTACTCGAAATCATGCCCCATGCCACATGCATTGAAGTTGAGCGTCGGTGACGCGTGCATGGAACACACGGCATCACTGAGGAATCAGTGCCCAAATGTGACTTTTTTTCCGTTTTTAAAGGAAAAGTGATAGTTGTAACAGACCCTTCTCTCCCCATCCAACCGCCATCACCCCTTTGATCTGCCACTGTCCGGGGATTTCAAAGTGGGTTCTCCCAAAAAGAATTACTGTGCTGCGAGTGCTCAGAACTAACCCATCTACACGCCATTAATTTCTCACTGATATACACAGTTTATAATTATAGAAAATAATTTTGCTTTGCAGTTTATATTTAACCATACCACTGCACTGCCTGCCCACACTTTCATTGTCCCTGAGCAACCAGATCCCGAACTGGTAGCGGCGCTCCGGACACGCCATTTGCCAGCATGCAGTAGCTGCGCTGAGCACCATCGCAAGCATTAACCTGATTTCAGGCAAATGCCTATTTTGTTCCTTGCAATCATACTGCCCACTTTGATATATAAGCGTGAATTAGAGCTTAAAAAGAGCTGTTACGTTGTTTTTATATACATATTTTCGTGAGTATAACCCGCACCAAAAACCCAGAAATTTCAGTGGCAAAGTGGAGGTGCAAATAATACGCGGGGTTTTTTCTATAGTACTGCTTCACAGCAATGCGTGTTGTGCTGTGAAGCCCCTTAACAGTGTAGCGAAAGCTATGTAGGCGGTTTCCGCAAATTCGTGTTGCTCCGCAAGTAGCACGGCAGCTTGCGGTCGATTTTGGTTTCGCTTGCTTGCATCGTTGAAGCATTTAAAAAAACATTTGGGAAGAGACAATTCGATCCTTCTGTGTAAAATCTCACTGTCACACCACAAGTATATTTTTTGGACGTTTGCGGCCGCGCAGTGAGCCTCCTTATGTCCCTACGTCACGGACGCCATGTTTACTTTTGGAAAGGACTTGCCGAAAAGGTGGTGCCGTCTAAGAAATAGAAAGAAAAGGAAGGCATTTTTGCAAAGTGAACGATACCTGTATCTTACCTACGACTTTCTGCAACCGTTTGAGTTCCATTATAAATAAAGCAGTATTTATTTCAGCAAGGCAAATGAGATATTAGAGTGCCTATAGAGATATTATCAGTAAATTTATATACTACTTTTTGACGCGGTAGCAGGCATGCATTTCGGTTCTGTTGTTTCCAGGGTGCTGCTACAGTGTACTAGAAGGGGTAGTGCTAAGTCGTGGAAGCCTAAGTCAATCTGTTCTGTCACCATGAGTAGCATACGGCGGCAGTCCTTCATGGCACAGCAAAAGTTTAAGATCATCACCGTCGCCGAGGAATTCGGAAATCGCGAAGCGGGAAGACGGCACGATGTGAACGAGTCCTGCGTGCGACTGTGGAGAAAGAAGAAAGAGAGCCTACTAGCCGCGCACCGCGACCGTAGGTCATTTCGTGGCCCCAAGACCGGTGCCTACCCTGAGCTGGAGGCGGAGCTAGTAAAGTTCATCGAAGATGTGAGAAG